ATACCATGGAAAGAAAATATTATGGGGGTGGTGGGGTGGAGAAAATTCATGATCAACCTGGGCCAATATTGAAACAATACAAAAGTAAAAAACTAAAACTTTTAATTTTTCCACATGCCAAAAGTAGAATATAATTATGTAACTGAAATTATTTTCCCCAATGATCTTTTCTCCTTTCCCCCCCACACAATACGGGATAAAAAATAAGTATACTTGGAAAGGACTTTTATTAATTAAAAACTGGAGGAGCTAAGGTACAGTCCTCAGAACCAGGGTAACCGAGAATAGAATTCCTCTTCCATTCATTTCTTTTAAATCCAGCCTTTACATCAGTGTTATAAACTTTATATGTGCTTTCTCAAATGTAGGATAGTGTAAATATCCACTCATTATTGCCAGAAAAAAAAAAAAAACTATCTTAAAAATTCAAGTAGTTCTTAAACATCATTTTTATAGAATGAAGCAGTAGATTTTGGTATACAGTATAATATAACTTTCTAAAAACGATGTCTTTTTTACTTGGTTAAAACATAATGCACCTTTTAAATGGCCACTGTTTTCAAACAATTTGTGTATGTGACTAACCGAATCTTATATGCTACAATTGGGTAGCCAGTGGTCATGTTTAATACCATTGGGTTTGACTTTATGCTCTACTTTAGATTAATGTTGGAAGGTAGTGATGATAAAATTGGACTATTATCTTTGTGATTTTATAATACAAAGTGGATTATTTCTACCTATGTGTTAAAATAAAAATTATGCCAAAGCCCAAACATAACATAATTAAATACTAATAAAATACATATCTGATTAAATTTATGGTTTGTTTCATTAGGGGCCTCTTGGGATAGCTGGCTCTGCTGGTTTTCCTGGAAATCCTGGAATGAAGGTAAGATTTTAATATATGCTATTTAACTCTGCTTGACTACATGAGTCCCCAAGTGCAGACCAATATTGCATTAATTGAAAAGTATGGAAATTTAACCGTTAACTAAAGAAAGACTCTAGGGTATACTTATTGTCCAGTGTGACAGGGAGAAAAAGAAATGAAAAAATGAAATTAATTATGTAAGAATAATTAAAGCATAGTTATTTATATTTATACAACTGTAACATCAAAGAATCTGTTGTGTTAGGAATCTTGACACCAAACAATTGGAACAGCTACAAGATAACAAGAGCTTTACACTGAATTGGAACCTGTTCTTGTATAGAGTTATAGGAGTAATAAGCAACAGAATTTCTTAAATAATAGAACATTAAAATAAATCAGAGGTTGTCCAAAGACTTTTCTTTCACACGATGCTTGCCATCAGTCTGCACCCCACCCCTACCCCATTAAAGGCATGGGCAGGGAGGGTATTTGGCTGTCCATGAGGGAATGGATTAAAGTATTCTGTTGGGATAACTTAACATGTGTAGTGAATCACAATCTGAGATTTTTCTCAGTACTTTGGGAAAAATTCAAAGACTACAGTAGGAAGAAATTAAGATTATATTAGCTAAATCAGGGAATATACTATACTTCAAACACTATTTAAATGTCAAGCAACACATGCTTGATTGCTTTTCACACCCACTTTCCCTTTGGAAATAATTTCTTCCTCTTGAAGAAGGAATTCGCTCAACAAGATTTAGCTATACAAAAATGACTGTGGCCATGGATGGTCATCTTTTCCTTCCAAACCTTTGTTTTCTTGTGGAATTTTGTCGGGGATTATGTGAGACAATCTGTGTAAAACTTTGGCATAATGCCTGATGCCTTATAGATTTATGCTTCTTATTATAAGTGCTATTCAAATTGGATTTAAACATAGAAACAACTCCACCTGGATGCTTATAGCCAAGGAGCTTTCCAGTCGGCTAAATACATGCTTTCTTGAAGGTCAATGGAACTGAATTTTTACAATTAGAATCATGTCTTACAGTCTGAAACATGTTTTGCTATATTGTTTATATAGCAAGGAAATAATATCTCGTTCTGTAGTGATGGCATGAATTTTTGTGTAGACTTTTTTTATAGTGAGTCTCACACATTTGGAGAACTATTATCTGAATTACACAGCACAATATAGCTGATATTTGGTTAAGAAATATTCGTAAATAATTTGGCTATAATTTGGGTTATCTTACTAATGGCATGAAGCTTCAATTATGTGCTACATTTATACACTTGAAACATTTAGATATACATCAAACAGAAACAATTCCCGGAAGTACTGGGGGGTCTGTTCAGCTTTCTTATCTCATTTGGTTCATGCTGTTTAAATAGTCTACTTCTGGTATTTATACAGAAGTAGGCTTGAAAAACATGAATGTTTTCTTATCTAAGAACATATTTAAAGTAAGCTATGCAGGGATAAAAATATCTATTTGTATTATTTGTATTCTTTGAGTTACTTGATGGTTCCTGAATTAGGGCTATTTCTAGTTTTTTGTATGAACTAAATTATCTTAAATAGTAAATAGGTGATAACTAAAAATTCTCATCAATGTCGTAAAATAATTCAAGATTTTGCAGAAGTTCAGAGGAAGGGTAACTTAAGCTAATCCTGATGCATGTATAGGATTGGGGTATGGAAAACCTTCCTGATGAAGAGTTCTCCAACATCCTCAGATAAGAAGGGGGTGGGAAGTGAGTCTGTTCCTTCAAGTAGGTTAGGCACTCATCCATGGTAAACTTGTTCGTGCTCTTGGTGCCTTTAAGTATTTGGGTTTAAAAAGCAAAATTCCAAATAAGCAATAACTTTGTACAATGCCACTCTTTTATTTTTCTTTAATTAACATTTCTCTTTAGGGAGAAGCGGGTCCTACTGGGGCACGAGGCCCTGAAGGTCCTCAGGGGCAGAGAGGTGAAACTGGACCGCCGGGTCCAGTTGGCTCTTCTGGTCTTCCTGTAAGTTTCTAGCACATCTAATAATTAGCCCAGAAAGCTGGGTAATTTTTAAAACATCTGAAGGAAAACAACCTATTTTTTAATTGATAGATGGTATTTGTGCATATTTATGGAGTTTAGATGCTATTCTGTTACATGCATAGGATGCATAATAATAAAGTTGGGGTAATTAGAATATCTGTTTCCTTTGTATATTTATCATTTCTATGTGTTGGGAACATGTTAAGTCCACTTATCTAGGTATTTGGAAGTGTAACATTTGCTATGTTCCCTTTGAATTCCCAATGCTTGCTTACAACTTAGGAAGAAAGCACATTTCCCTTGTCAACTCTTGAAGCATTGTCTACTTTATATATAAGGACATTAGTAAAAAAATGATACTTATGAAATACTGGTAGTGGAGTTTTCTTGCAATTTTTCTGCCTCCTCTTGGAATATGACTGAACACCTAAATCCTATCTTACATGTATCTAGATAGGGCTTAATATTTCATAAGCTTTTTATGTATTTTTTTAGGGTGCAATGGGAACTGATGGTACACCTGGTGCCAAAGGTCCCATGGTGAGTAATTACAATTTTCTTCCCTCATTTGAATTATGTGAAATTCAAGTGATTCTCATTTATCCTATGCTGCTACCTGTATTTCTCCCTCTTGCTGTCTGATAGGGCTCTCCAGGTACCTCTGGTCCTCCTGGCTTGGCAGGGCCCCCTGGATCTCCAGGACCTCAGGGTAGCACTGGACCTCAGGGAATTCGAGGCCAACCGGTAATGTCCTTTGCAACAATTATCACCCATGTAGTATAATCCATCTAAGAGTGCCAGGAGTAATGACATGTAATGTGATGCAATGAAACACAGATAATGTGGCTTATCCAAATGAGGGAAGTGAAGATTGGAAACTTTGTAAAATGAAGGCTAAAGGTTAATGAGCAATTTAGATTTTTAAACTTGTAAGTGGAACAGTATCACAGTAGGTTAAATTTTAGTATTCTTTTATTCAAAATAATAAAATCATAACTTTATGGTCCACCTCATAGGATTTTATGAATGGTTTAATAATAAATGTTATGGAACTATTTGGCAACCCAGTCTGAGGGAATATGAAGGTTTAATAGGGATTTATAATGACAATTTGGCTAACAATGGGTTCAACAGCTATTTCTTGAGAGTTATTCTTGAGTGATTCCATTATATTGGTAATTGAATTTTTCCGTATTTTAAAATGAATTATTTATTGGAAAAATATTTTGATAAGCTCATAAGATATAAACACACTAAGAAGCTATGCTTATATAGCTTTTAGTTTGACACATAAAAATAAATATTTAAATAAATATTTTAGATTCTATTCCAAGTAATGCGGTTATACTGATAAATTCTTTTTAAGTGCTGGCAATAATTTATTAAAACATTAGTGTTGCTGATATATTGCATTTTATTTTACCATTTTCTAAATTTAGTAATCTGATTCCAGCAACATAAACTACAATTGGCGTTTAAAGGTACACATATAAACTGCCCCCACTGAACTCTCTAAATGTGAAATGCCCTCTTTAAAGTTGCCAAATTCCAAATAAATAGCACACAAATATAAGTCTATATCCTAAAATACAAACTAAGTAGACTTATCTATAGTAGTTGTCATTGTTAGTTCAAATTTGAATTACTGAATAATTTTAATTATTCTGTTATACATGACAAAAATGCAATTCTAAAAATAAAGACCACTATAACATAAACTGCTACCGAATTATACTGAATTTTAAAAAAATTCACACACTTTCTATAAGACTTAAAAAACTTTTAAAAATGATTATCCTACTGATTCAATACAGATTCAGCAGCAGAAAAATTTAAAGGTCTGTTCACTAGAATTAATTGCCACATGTGGAACTGGTTAAATGTCCTGGTTCTTACAACTATCAATATTTTTATCTTAGGGTGATCCAGGAGTTCCAGGTTTCAAAGGAGAAGCTGGCCCAAAAGGGGAACCAGTAAGCCTTCATTTTTTTTCTAATGATAATTGTCTGGAAGTATACTGTCAAAATGCTCATGTTTTAAAATAATAACAATGAAAATTATAATAGCTTGGGATGAAAATAAATAGTCTATTTAATGTACTTTAAAGTTTGTGACTTACATCATTAATTTTCCAACAAAACTCACTTGCTTGTTGATAATTTCCTGATAGCTGTTTTTCTTTTTTTGATAGGGGCCACATGGTATTCAGGGTCCGATAGGCCCACCTGGAGAAGAAGGCAAAAGAGGTCCCCGAGGTGACCCAGGAACAGTTGGTCCTCCAGGGCCAGTGGGAGAAAGGGTAAAATTTGAACAATAGAATGTATTTTTACAGTTGTAAAGAAATTACAGGTGTAAGTTTAGGAATAGTAAGAAAAACTAGAGCAGTTAAGTGAAATGCTTTCAGTTGCCTTGTACAGTTCAGTAGAGTTATTTGCAAATAAAAGGTACCAACTGTCTAATCACTCATCATTCATTAATTCCACTAATACTGATCAAATCACTGCTCTATGCCGATATTAGCTACTCATGCTTGGAATACATCAGTTAACAAGAAGTCTGTGGTACCAGTCCTCATGTGGGTACTAGTAAATGATAATTTAGTAGGGAGATAAAGAATAATCAAGTCAATAGGTTAAAAATATACATTATATACTTTTCGATAAGTTGCATACATTTAATAAGTTAATACATTAGTAAGTTAAAAGACTGCACACATTAAATAATGGGGTGATGTGTTGGAGAGTAACTATGGGTATAAGACAGTGGTAAAATGTTAGAGTACGGGCTTAGGAAACAGAATCCCTTGAGAAGACATCATAATTGCTGAATCCTTAAGATGAAGATTATCAGCAAGAGAAATTAGGAGAAAGAATATTCTTAGCAGAGGAAAAAGCAAATGCAGAGCCAGGAGATCTGAAAGGATTGTCATCAATGGTGTCCTACCTGTGGCCTGCTGATTTTCTGAGAACTTTTTTGGCTTATCAAAGTATTGGATATCAGGATGTCCCTAAAAGCATTCATAGACCTTTTCCTTTTTGCTCATCAACTTTAGTGTTTGTGCATTTCATGTGTGGCCCAATACAACTCCTATTCTTCCAATGCGCAGCAAGAACTGATTCATTCTATAAGGGTACATGTGAATCTCTCTAATTGTAGAATATCAGTGTCTTAACATAATAACTAAGAAAAAGACATGAAGGCTATGTTACCCCATTGGATGAAAGTATTTCAAATTGTATACAGAAATAGTACAATGTACCCCCTGATAGTATTAACGTACACTGCTATGATTTAATACAAAAAAAGGAAAAAGTTAAAAAAATAAAAAAAAAATAAAGAACAAAAACAAAGTTGCACATCGCTGAACTAGGGTACTTTAAAGATCAGACAATGCAGCTGTGATTGGAGTATAGTGAAGCAGGTCTGACAGGCAGGGCAATAACCTCACGTAGGTGCAGAGTGTTAGGGAACGCAGAGAACTTCACATACAAGACGACATTGATGCATGCTACTATTGACATTTGGAATGCTTTAAATGGTACCTTTGCCTCTCATACCTAGATAGCAGTTTTTCTCTATGTTTAATTTTACAATGAATTATTATAGTATTTCTTAATTTGAAGAATTATTTGGCTCAGTACTTATATAATCTTCAACATTTAAATCTATTCATTCTGTTTTTTTTCCATATAATCACAGCTCCTAAAACTTTATAGTACTAAAAAATAAAAATGATCTATTTATTATCTATTGTAAAAATATCAACAAATAAGAATCACATTTTGGTCATTTGTAGGGTCCTCCTGGCAATCGTGGTTTTCCAGGCTCTGATGGTTTACCTGGACCAAAGGTGAGGTTACCCCAACAAAGCTGATGCTCATGCGGGTGGTGCTCCCAAAGATGCCATTTTCCAAAATGCTGATCATTGTGATCTGACTGTGGCTCATATAGGTCCAGATCCAGAAAGGAGATGGACACAGAGGGCAGGCCTAACCCCAAACCCCTCTTGTGTAATTTCTGCATTAAGACATGCAGGGGAGAAGGACAATAGTTGGAGGAATAAGAGAGCTTTTCTTCAGACTTTTTAGTGAATACACACCCACACGTATATTTTCCTTTGTGTTGAAAATTTGAACTTTTTCAATATTCTTGCTTTTTAAAAATCTGAATTATTGGAGTAAAGCTCTAAACTCAACTTCTATTAGTTAATGATGAAAAACCACTGTTATGCAAGGAGTCCAAATTAGAACAAAATGTGCAGTGACATAGTTTTGAAAGATGTCTTTGTAACTTCTTTGACAAAATATTTGTATGTTACAGTTGTGCCCCAATTTGTAAAACTATAATTTTACTTATGATTGCTTTTTTTCTCCTGGAAACTTTTCTGACACGTGCTTTTTTTTTTTTGGTACAGGGTGCTCAAGGAGAGAGGGGTCCTGTAGGTTCTTCAGGACCCAAAGGAGGCCAGGGGGACCCAGGACGACTAGGTGAACCTGGGCTTCCAGGTGCTCGGGTAAGAACTCAGCAGTGGTTTGGCATGTCAGCCCAGGAGGAAGGCTACTGAGGAGGCTTGCTTTGTTTCTTTTTTGATTTAGTTCACTTTATCAATTTGGAAAATTTCTTTGTTTTTATGCTTTTGACCTGATTTGTTATTTTTTAAAATACTGATTTGCCTTTTGTCTTGTATAGAAAGCACAGTAACTTCTAGTCTCCCTTAAAGGAACATGTATTAATCACTTTACCATTTGGCATTAGAAAAAAAATTCTTGCTTGTCAATCTTTATGATTTTTCCTTACTTGCTAACAGACAACTTGTTTGGCTTTGGGCAGAGAATTTCTAATAAGTATTATTTTAGCAAAACATCATTTGAAAATGTATTTGAAGTATGAGCTGGCCCTCTAGTAGGTTATCAAAAATGCAATGCTGTATATTTACTCCTTAAAATATTTACTTCAATTGCATTTTTAGGGTTTGACAGGAAATCCTGGAGTTCAAGGTCCAGAAGGAAAACTTGGACCTTTGGTAAGTAATTTAAGCAAATGTCCACAACCATTCATATTTTTAATAGACATATATTGAATGATATTTACTTGAGGTTAATATTATTGTGTGGATGCGGGTCACGCCCACATATTTAAATTGCCTCCTGGAAATGAATTCTTAGTGTCTATGTATTTTTACACTGACCAAAGTATAGATCGAGTTTTATTAAGGTAAATGTTTGAGATTTAAGTTGCTTTCCTGACATCAGCTAAAAAGTTAAAATTATTGGTGAACTTTGTGTATTAGCAATATTATAATTTCTTAATATCCTTCCAATTGTATATGTTTAAGAGATAAATGGGTATGAATTTAGACAGTTTATATATTCTAAGATCTTGCCTTAAACTGCAATTTAACATAGAAAATTCTGAATTTTCATTACCACAAATCAGATAAATGAAAGAAGAGAGAAATGGTTATCCTATAATAAGAGAATGTCAGTAGATGTGAAGATTAGGCTTATGTCTAGAAGAATAAAATCCCTGTTGTCAATACTAAAAATGCTTCAGCGGTTTTTTAAAAACCAACTAATTTAAATCATTAAGATAAAAAATGGAAGGATTTAAAATTTGTGTAACTTCTTACTGTCAGAAAGGCAAGTGACAATTTAGATATTTAGAAAGAACTTACGTGGCTCCTGTCAATTCTGCAGGGTGCTCCTGGAGAAGACGGCCGTCCGGGCCCTCCGGGGTCCATAGGAATCAGAGGGCAGCCTGGGAGTATGGGTCTTCCGGGCCCCAAGGGTAGCAGTGTGAGTACAGTGTATAATTTTTTTGACATCTCTTCATAATCCTCCTTTGGAGAAGGTGTGATTTTACCAAATCGATTGAATTTTAGAGTGGCTTCTTTTATTCTTTAGGGCGACCCTGGGAAGCCTGGAGAAGCAGGAAATGCTGGTGTTCCTGGGCAAAGGGTAAAAACACATTTTATGCTAAAGTTAGAAATGTATATGAAACTGTGCAAATTCTCCTACATGGACTCACCTCACAAATTATCTCTGTGTGATACCAGGGAGCTCCAGGGAAAGATGGTGAAGTTGGTCCTTCTGGTCCTGTGGGCCCTCCGGTAGGTGATCGTTCCCCCAGAATGTGTCTGTACCCTGCCGTTTTCAGTGATATTGGCCATTTAGTTAAGAATAAGTTTCTAGAAAAGTGAACAAGATTGTCCAGGATCAAAGGCTTTCAGTTATATATTTTCTTTTGATTCCTGTGATCTGCTGTCTTCTGTCTTTTAAATATGACGAATGTTCTTTTCTTTTAAACTTCTTTAAAAGTCTGATGAGAAAGGCTTCCTCATTGTCCTTACACCTCACAGTTGAAGAATATATCAACTGAGGAAAATCGTTTCTGACAAACAAATATTATTTCAATGTTTTAATTTAAAATGTTTAAATACTGAATTATACCTTTCTTCTAATAATGTATCTTATACAATTTTATGGAAGCCATTTTTGAGCAGGTTATGTTTTCATCCCAGGATTTTAAAATTAAGGCGTTATCAAAATACTTTAGCATATTAGTTTTGGTGTGGGCCAGTTTAAGTATCTTTCTAAGCTATTAGTTGTTATTTTTTACTTATTCTAGTTCTGAAGTTTTGATTCATAATTCTTATGACATTTAGAAATAAACAAATATAAATATTGCCTTTTTAAATAGGATTTTCATATTTAATATATTCAATTTCCCCATAATTTTACTGTTGACTGTGGACATTTTATGTTAGGATCAAAAAATAAATACATCTTCTCTATTGCTTTGCTGGCCTTACAAAGAATCATGAAGACTTCAAATAATACTATTAGGTGACTTTTAACACCAGTTTATTACCTGACAAAAGTGAAAAGCATATGATTAGAAGAAACATAAGAAAATATCAATTCTCCTAGTGGTTCATATAAACAAAAAATAGTTACATATGTATTAATAGCTTTGCCCCTTGGCGCCAGCTGCATTCATGATTTTCTGTCCTTTATGGCTCAGGGTCTCGCTGGAGAAAGAGGAGAACAGGGACCTCCAGGCCCCACTGGCTTTCAGGTATGCACTAATTCAGTTACCCATTTCTTCATCCATTAACGAAAATGCTTTTCTAAAACTTAAAGAGCTATGGTCAAATGCTGTGAAATTCTACAATTTCCAAAAATAATTCCTGTTTTGCTAAGACAGGATAAAGCCATTTGGATAAAAATCAAGCATTTTTATTCAAAGGAAAGGAATGAACTTAGCTTAAAGTTGATAAACCCCCCAAAGTATTAACAAAATAAATAAATGTTATCAGGAATAAAATTTTTCTGAATCCCAACAAAATCTAGTTTAACCTAGTTTTATTGACATAGCGACTAAAAATTTTAATTAAACAAATTTTCATGATTTTTCTACATATATTGGTATGTACATTTTTTATTAACAAGGATAATCATAATTAGTGAAAAGAGCTTTTAGGACTGACTTTAATGTTATGGTTATTTAAATATTGTTCTCAGAGCCATAAAAACTCTAAAAATATGAAAAGCCTTTTGTTCTGCAGGGTTTTTTGTTGTTGTTGCTAAATGATGTGTAGGTAAACATCTAATCCTGTAAATTGACTAATTGCTGTGTTTTGTTAGAAGTAGTTTTAAAAAAATATTTCTGAACAAAATATTTTGCTTAAGGATATAGTTATGGAAACTCCATGGATTAGAAAATGTGAACTATTAATATAGGTCATCTATTAAACTTTCATAGATCCACAAATGTATTTTCTTTTGTTTTAGGGGCTTCCTGGTCCTCCAGGGCCTCCTGGCGAAGGTGGAAAACCAGGGGATCAGGTAAGTGTTTAAATACTCATAACAGCAACGTTAGAAAATTGCTGGCTCATAATACCTTTTTTTCTATGTGAGGCCCTGTTCTGGTTTTCTTTACATACATTTTCTCTTCGGATCCTCAGAACAACCCCATGTACTATGGACTCTTGTTATCTCTGTTTTTACAGAGGAGGAAAATGAGGCACACAGATAACTTTCCCAAAGTCATAAAGCAGATATGACTTGAATCCAGGTCATCTGCTTCCCAAGACTGTGTTCTTAATCACTTCCGTAACTAGAGTTTTGGTGGAGTATTTATAAAGAGCTGTGAACAGATATTAACTATTTCATTTCTGTCATTTTACTGGCCCATCAATTTATCTATTTTCCTTTGTGTGATGCATTTGTCTTCTTAGTCATTCGGTAAAGTTTTGCTGAGTACTGTTTGTGCTTGGCTCTACTAAGCACTTGCCTTAACTGGATGAACGAAATGGATCTGGACCTTGCCCTTCTGTTGTAGTAGAGTAGGTGACTGAGTATATAAACAGACAGTTTTGATAGTAGTGTATTCTAAATGCTATGATAGGGGAGGCACTACGTGTACGGAAACATAAAAGCTGCTCCAAATTTAGACTTAGGGGGTTTGGGAGAAATTTCCCAAATTAATATCTTGTGTGAGATCTGCAGGATGAATGATGTTAAAGGTGGAGGAGAAAAGGTGAGAAAGAAGCACAGGAAATAAGAACAGGTGCAAAGGTGTTCAATGTAAGGAAGGGTTACTAAATCAGGAGAAGGGAGGAGGGTAGAGGGTAGAGGCTGGAGGGGTAGTCAGGGGTAGTCAGGAGCCAGAACACAGAAGGTCTTAACTTATGTATAACTTGTCCTTCATCATTAGAGTAATGGAAATGTCATGAGGGCTTGTAAGAAGGGAATAATATGATCAGATATGGGTTTTAGGAAGATCATGTTGCAGTAAGGGCAATCAATTTCAGAGGATATGATTAGTGGCCTACTTGATAAAATTATCGTCTTTATCGGAGAGAAAAGTTTTAAAATGTTATACTTTTCTTTAGTTAAGAACAAACCGAAACTTTTGGACACATGAGCACAATTCCTAGTAGAATGCTTTTTCCATATTATAGCCTCAAGAAAGATTTACCAAATTGAATAAAATTGAATTGGTTCTATTTAAAGGATAAGTTCCTAACTGGTTTCAAATTTTTCTTTTTATTTATTTTTTTCTCATTGCTTTTAATATCATTTTCTTTCTTTAAAACGTTTTCATGTTCCATTAGGAGATAAAAAGCATTTAGCATATATTTTTGTCTCTTAAAGAACAAATGCATTATATTTGTGAGGTAATGTCTTCATGTTCTTATTGCCAAAAATAAAACATGTAGGTATAATATTTTTATATTTAATATATATTTTTATTGTTTTCTAGAAAAATGTTTTCATCCAATGTATGTGAGATTCTGTCATTTGTGAAAGTATGCATATTTTTCTTTCTTAAATATTGTAAACTAATTCAGCTTTCTAAGTTTGCATTAAAAGAAATTAGTATATGATATGGAAAAATTTCGATTAAATGTTTGAGAGCTGTAAGGCACTGAAAAAAGGTTACTTAAAAAATGAAACATGTATTTATAGGGTGTTCCTGGAGATCCTGGAGCAGTTGGCCCATTAGGACCCAGAGTAAGTATTTTTTCTTTTGTGATTAATTTTGTTTCCCACAGTTCAGTTCGAAAGGGAGTCTTTTATCTTAAACTCAGATTTATTTTACACATTAAATTCTTGTACCAGATAAAAATCAATCATATGAAAAATATTTTGTCCTGTGAAACTAGCATATCCTTGCTTCAAGTTTGTTTCTTAGCATTAAATGAGAACGTTGAATCTTAGTAATAATGGCTTATTCCTAAACTTTCCCCCAATAGAAGCCATATTGAAGAAATATTTTAAACCCATTTTTAGATCAACTATTAAGATTATTTTACATTCCAATGTTCTGCTAGGGAGAACGAGGAAATCCTGGGGAAAGAGGAGAACCAGGAATAACTGGCCTCCCTGGTGAGAAGGGCATGGCTGGAGGACACGGTCCTGATGGTCCAAAGGTAAGTACAGTAGTGATCTCAGTATTTTAAAATGCTCCAAAATAGCTATGCAGCTACACATGAGGGTACTAGAATCAGTTTCTCATATTTTTGCAAGGTAATTTTCTTCTTCAACAGATATTTAACAAGCACTTACTAGGGTTTTTCTTATGACTAAAGAGTTAGCTAAAAAGCAAACTCTCTTCTTTGTGATGGGGATTGTGCTGTCGGTCCACATGGTGGATACATTCCCATATGCAAACACAATCCTTATATTTATATTAATTTTATTAATGATTGCTTGAATAGGTAAGAAATAGAAAATTGCATAATTTGTTAGGAGGTTTTCCTAATCCTATGCTTCGTTTTCTTTGTCTCAGTTTCCACAATTCTGCTTACTGCATACATGAAAATATGTAGGCAGCAATCAGTGCCCTTTCCTTTTGAGTCCCGTTTTGTGACTGGTAGAAGATAATGTGTGCAACTTCAGTATAAACCAAAGTTAGAGAATTTTTCATGATCATACAACATGAGATCTTTTATCATCTCCAGGGTCAAGTGATTGATAAGACCTACTTAAATTTAGTCACTAAATTATCCTGAAAAGGAGCTTAACATCACAGATTTAGTTAAGGCAGAATGAACACTTCTCTAGATGCAATGTCTTCTTTCTTTATTAGATTTTCCTAAGGTGTTGCCAACAAAGAGGGAAAAAAGGCCCCTCTATCTTTTATTTGAATTGGTACTCAATTTTCTCTAAAGGGAAAAGTGGAAAACAAAGCAACAATCAAAAAGCAAACTTGTTTTATTTCAAAAAAATCAACTCAGAAATAACTTTCCCAAATGAAAAAAAATGAGCATTAAGTTAAAATACGTGAAATTGTTGGCATTCAACATTTTTTAACCCACTAAAGCACCAAATTTTGTTGTGGCTCAATCTTAATATATTGGTAGAATCACTCAATATTTGTTCATTTCAGGGCAGTCCAGGTCCATCTGGGACCCCTGGAGATACAGGCCCACCAGGTCTTCAAGGAATGCCGGGAGAAAGAGGAATTGCAGGAACTCCTGGCCCCAAGGGTGACAGAGTAAGTCTGAATTATTTTTTTCAGTTCATCTATTTAGAGATTTCCCTGAGCAAGCTTTTATTTCCACCATCCCAAGCCCAAGTCATTCTTTGATTGGTTCTTTCAATGAATAATTTTTGAGGAGATGCACAATGTCTGACACCATTCTACACTCAAAGGGATACAGCTATGAGCATGACAACTATGACTATGTCCTCATGAAGCATCTGTGTAAAATGTGAGACAATTCGTTGAATAAATGGTACTTTGTGTGTATTCCCAGGGTGGCATAGGAGAGAAAGGCGCTGAAGGTACAGCTGGAAATGATGGTGCTAGAGTAAGTAAAAGCATTTCTTTGTCCATTAGACTGGAAACCAATATCATTACATTATCTTATGAATTTGCCTGAATTTTTCAAAATAAAGTGAATCACATTTTCTTGGTGGTCAGGGTTTGGAGAATGATGACATTTGAGATTTGATGTTCATCACCATGGATACTCATTATACTTACCCTGAATTAGAAAGAGTAAAAACTAAAGTCATTATTCAGAGACCAAAATAAAACAGCATATTTATTGGGCATATGAGATAGAGTCTCTAAGGGGGTGAGGTCCCTCTTCATCTTTCTTTATTATCTTTTAGTTTCATATTTAATTATTTTTCCTATTAAATAATTTTGATGTAATAAACTGGTCTAGATTTCATGCCAGCACAGATGAGTAGAGCTTTATAGCCCAAATTGTGGTAAGTGTTTCTCAGCATATTGGAGCTTGGGGTGAGAAATTTACTATATAGTTAATCATTATTAATATCTTCATCAATAAAGAGTTTGATAAGGTGAATGTGAAAAGAGATGGTCAATCCAAAACTTTGTTTAATGTCATGTCATAAACAAATATTTAACAAGCTTTAGGTCTTCAAAATTAAAAGGTTTTTACATTTACAATTCAAAAAACAAAAGACTAGAAGGACGATATATTTTCCAATATAAATGTTTTTCTCATGTAGAAGCGATTCATCATAGCAATTAATCAAATATTCAACATTTTCTAAACTAGTGTTTGATATTTGATGAAAATTTTCTGCCTCAGTATGACATGCTTTGCTCTTAGCTGTCCATTGTGCCTTGGCAATAGCAGTTGTACTATAAACACAAGATCACGATGATTCAATTAATAATTGCAACATTGTTAATACATTGGTTATATTAGCTTTTGATTAAAAAAATACAGTGAAATGTATAGGAAAATTTTATCTTAGAAGTCATTAACATTTTTTATCTTTTATGAAAAGTTAAATTAAGTGTGAACTTCTTAGTTTAGCAAATTGTGAACAAAAAGTATCTCTTGCCAGGTGGTGCCTGTGGCTCAAAGGAGTAAGGCGCTGACCCCATATGCTGGAGGTCGCAGGTTCAAACCCAGCCCTGGCCAAAAATTGAAAAAAAAAAAAACACAAAAAACTCTTGCCTTTTAGTTAAATCTAATATTTGATTTTAAAAATGGTCTAAGCATATCTTGTATATTTTTTGTACTTTACGTCATGAATGTTCTGGAGTATTGAGTAAGTAGTGTAATACTGTCTGAAGGAGGAATGTATTGATGGCTTATTTTAAGGGGAAATCCGAAATACATACCTAACATACCTATGAACTAACTTTGAAAATGTAGCATAATCAGGCGGCACCTGTGGCTCAAAGGAGTAGGGCACCAGCCCCATATGCCGGAGGTTAAAAAAAAAAAAAAAGAAAAGAAAAGAAAAGAAAATGTAACATAATCACATCAGGACATAAGCAATGACTATTTTTAATGAGGTCAATGTTCAGGAAAGAAAGAAACAAAACAGAGCATTTGCTATGATCTTAAACTAAAGGAAAAAACGAGCACCATGTTTTCTCTGTGTGAAATTTCTGTGAATAGAACTAATGAAGTGCTTTGCATATTTAAGCAAATTCTTTAAGAAAGTGTCTTAAGGAAAATATTGGAAGAATATTGTTCTACTACAGATCCAGAGGATGTAAGAATACAGTTTTCTCAGATTCTTGTCAAAAGTGTAAAATTAAAAAGTCATTTTTGTGTCTTAAGTTTTTTCAGTAGTACAAACAGAAATTGAATGAGGAAAGAATGTTTGGGCTGTGTGAGAAGAGGCAACACACAAATATCAGACAGAGAACTTGTTTTAGAACAGTACTTCAGTCTAGTAAGCAGTTAAAGATAATGACTTCCTGTCAAAAGCTGGATAGTGTCCCCATGTGGTCTCTTTCCTGTGCTCTAAGGTAGAGAACCCATTAATCTAGCTGAGTGCTGACATTCCGTTTCATCTCAAAAGAGTGAAGAAGAAAGCTAAGTCAGGTTCAGTGGCTCATGCCTATAGTCCCAGCTACATTCTTTTACACGCATGTGACCATAGCTGCTGCACTTGAACCTGGGCAACATAAAGAAACCTTATCCAGTTTCCAAAATAAGTAAATGAGAGGGAAGGGAGGGGAGAGAAAGGGAAAGGAAGAGAGAGAGAAAGGAGGGGGAGAAGAAAAAGCAAGAGGAGGAGAAGGAGGAAGGAAGGAAGGGAGGGAGGGAGGAAGGGAAATGCTTTAGCAAACAGTATGCTATTATAATAATAGCATGTAACCTTGCTATTATACTTTAGTAATAAAGTAATATACACAAAAGAAGAAACCTCCTTTTCAATCTATGCTGTAATTGCAAAATCAATATTAGCAAAATTAAATAAGCTAAGAAAGAATCATTGTAGAAGAATAGCATTAATTTATCACTCATGTTTGAAGGTAGTTTTATGTATGCATGAGTTTGTTGAGTTGGTGAAGAAAGGAAAGCCTTCTGTAGAGAAACCTGGTGGAAATGCTTTAAGACTTTTAGAAAAATCTTGAAAAGGTACAGATTATATAATTTACAATTGATAACAATTTGCAGATAGCTGAGCTAAAACAAAATAGCCCTTTCTTTTTATGCATAAAGATCCCTGTACATTTTTCCCCTCATATGGCTTATGTTCTATTAATTAACAGGGTCTTCCAGGTCCCTTGGGCCCTCCAGGTCCTGCAGGTCCCACTGGAGAAAAGGTAAGCCTCAAGCTGTTATTTTATGGACTCAAAATCACTGTCTGCTCCTACCAGTGCCCAGTGTCTTGCAATTACATTGTGTTTTGCTGCTGCTCTGGACAATAACCACCTAAAATCTGCCTTGTAGGGTGAACCTGGTCCTCGAGGTTTAGTGGGCCCTCCTGGCTCCCGTGGAAATCCTGTAAGTGACAGTATTTTGCTGTTCTTTAGTGTGATATTAAGCAAAAGAAAAAATCATTTTGTTTTGATATTTATGCAAAACCAAGAGACCTCTTTTCTACTCTGATATTGGGAATTTTATTCTATGACCTATATGTTTGCATCACCCTTGAGGATCTTCCTCAAATAATATGTGTAATTCCTTTCTATGTATATGTTAAACTATGCCAAATTTATATAATTGTATTGTAAAATACTGTTCCTGTTTAGAATAATGGATGAAGATTACAGTAATGTTTGTCTTCTCTTAGGGTTCTCGTGGTGAAAATGGCCCAACCGGGGCTGTTGGGTTTGCTGGACCCCAGGTATAACTTTCAAATTTTCCTCATTTATAAACAGACATTGCTTTTGTTATATTGATAAGGCTAATGGGGTTAATTATCATTGTCTTATGTTTTGAAGGGATATTAATAATTCTAGAAAGTTTATGGCTTTCTCATTTTCAATGCATTTTTCACAGACTGGCACCAAAATTGATGTTTGAGTTTATATAATTACTTGTTATGACAAAAATGTGGTGGGATAGCTTATTATTCAGGCTTTCTTCAAAGATCTTGTCAGCGAACTCTTTTCAACTGTGCTTTAATACTGATTACAAAGCACCATTGCATAATATATGATTAGTTGATATGTTAATAATCATTACTATGAAACAATTTACCTGTAGGTCATACAGTCAGTTACTTATTTGTGCAACTGCATATAGGGTCCTGATGGGCAGCCTGGGGTGAAAGGAGAACCTGGAGAGCCAGGACAGAAGGGAGATGCTGGTTCTCCTGGACCACAAGGGCTGGCAGGATCCCCTGGCCCTCATGTAAGTTAAAAAAAAGGTATAAGTTGAGTCCAGTGCCTGAAGTTTGGAGTGTGTATTCAGCCTATTTTGCTTTACTACAGTGATCTTCTGTTTGTTTCTTTTTATGTAGGGTCCTAACGGTGTTCCTGGACTAAAAGGTGGCCGAGGAACCCAGGGTCCACCGGTAAGTTGGTTGGATGTTCTGAGAATTATGTACAATTAGTTACAGATATTTAGTACTTCCTGTTCATGTAAAAAAGCTAATCTTCATCTGAGCTGTAACAAAAAGTTATTTCTTGTATCAACTGTATAATTCAAAGGCCCCTTACCTTACATAGAGATTTGAGTTAAAATTAGTTTTGTAATTTTAGAGACCCAGCTGCCTCAAATGCAGTACAAATAGTATATTATTTATATGAAGGGATGAATGGTGTCAAAGAACTGTATATAATTTGATTATTTAAAATAGTACTGTAATTCTAGCCCTACTTGTATTTGTTCAAGATAAATGAAAAGTGTAATGATAAAAATAGCATCCTTCCTACTAATTAATCTAGACTCATTTCCAAAAATACATGTATGCATGAGATGAAAAAATGTATTGGTCACAACATGGAAAGGAATCTAAAGGCCTAAGACTTCTCATGAAAAGATATATCTTTGAAATATATATGTTAACTTATTAAAATTATTTGAAAATTACTTATATGCTATATTTTAGGGTGCTACTGGATTTCCTGGTTCTGCTGGCAGAGTTGGACCTCCAGGCCCTACTGTAAGTCAACTTGGTTATTCAAGTCACTGATAGTGGAATAACTATACACACACACATATATACTGCATATATATATGTATATACATATGTGTGTGTGTGTGTGTAGAAATGATTACTTTTTTAAAAATTCCTTAATGGTTTGTTTTCTTATTTAATAACTCTTATCATAATAATTCATACTAGTATTTCACCAAAGCAAGTTCATATTCAATAATACAGAATTTCTTAGAGGAGTTATTTAGAAGTTCTTTTTAGTCTCAATGTTTGACCATTATTCAATTTGGGTATTAAATCTTTAGAGTATTATGTACTAATAGTGATCCCCTTCAGGTAGTAAGCTTTTCTAAAACTTTCTTTAATACATGTTATTCTTTAATTTTAAGATCAGGGCAGACCAAATAACCTATTATATATTCATTGTTGAGAGTAGAGCCTTAAATATGTTTGAAAATTCAAGTTTTAAAATTTCATTACTCTTTTGAATGAAAATGATTCAACAGAAATTGTCTGCAAATGATATTTGTATTTTCTCCTAGATACTCAATCTACCAATACATTTTCTTTGTTTTGTTTTGCTAAAGTTCTACGAAATGACTGGTTATCTAACAGGAGACATGAACCTGTGTGCCTCGGACATCTGTGTGTGAGGCAGATGCCATTGTGTCACACCCTCCTCACCTAGCTTCCACTTTGCCCTCTGGGTGTTTCTTCCTCTGTTATACTAGGGAGCTGTAGGACCTGCGGGACCCTTAGGGGAACCTGGGAAGGAGGGACCTCCAGGTCTACGTGGGGACCCTGGCTCTCATGGGCGAGTGGGAGATCGAGGACCAGCTGGCCCTCCTGGTGGTCCAGGGGACAAAGGGGATCCTGGAGAAGATGGACAATCTGTGAGTTTGGAATTTTTGTTCTACATCACTTCCAGTTGAGACATTTACAAATAGAAATTCACAATAATTAGCACAACTAAGAAATTATGTAAAAATAATGATTAGCAGATTCATAAATCCTTTAAGTGCATTATACCCTGTAATTTACAATTCTCTATTTTAGAAGAAAACAGTATATGTGAGATTTTTTTTAAAAAGTAATGGATATGATGTCCAAATTTAAACCAAAACTTTCTTTGTTAAATACGCATATGAAGAATTTTTAAAAAATGTTACTTTATTTTATATCCAAATGCCTCTAAATATTAATCTATTTAGTTAAATATTTATTTTTCAATCATTTTAAAAGGAGAAAAAATATTTTTTTCTAAACAGTTCTAAACCTCTTTTAGTCAGTCATTCTTCACATTACTTTTCAAATTCCTTTCTGACTGATGAGCTGTTTTTACCTTTAAATATAGTTAAAGTCTGCGGGTGGATTACAACTAATGACTACTTACACATAGCATGGTTGGGTGAAACAGAGAACTTTTTTTATTTCTTACTGAAAAATATGTAAAACTGTAATCAATTTATAATAAATTTCTCAGATTAGGTTTTACCTTGGAGAATTTCTAATTATTGTTTATATTTGACATTAGGGTCCAGATGGTCCCCCTGGTCCAGCTGGAACTACTGGGCAAAGAGGAATAGTTGGCATGCCTGGGCAACGTGGAGAGCGGGGCATGCCTGGTCTGCCAGGCCCAGCGGTGAGTAGCTTAATTGGTCAATATTTCAGCTGATTTGTGCAATAAAACTTTTAAGGGGAATTGGTATTTTTTTGCTTAGTAAATAGATCTAAACAGTTTCATACTGACATACATTCTGAGTATCTTAAAAACCTTTTGATGTTAAATGTCAAATTCTTAATTACCTTACAAAGTCTTTGAAAAATATATTTATTTAACCCAGGACCAGTGAAGCAGACAAATAAGGATATGGCTTTTTGGTGACTTTTAAATCTTTCTTCAAAGACTAAAAAGATCCCTGGAGCTAGAGAAGGGGGATAATCTCCTGGTGAGGTGGTAGTGTCTTTTTAAATAAACATGCTTAACAAAAACACCATATTTCATAGTTAACCACCAAAGGGAAGATATGGTCAAGCTAAAGTAATATTAGAGGTGAATGTAGGGTAAACTATAAAGAAAGACTCTGAAGGTAATCTCCTGGTCTCTGGAGAGTGCTTAAGAATCTCATATTCCCTGGAGTACGGATAAAAGTTTGATTTGATGTTAGCTTTGAGAAGATTAAATTTTATCACTAGAATATTGCAATATTTGAGGAACAAAAAACATTTTTTTTTATGGAATATAGATAGAGAGATGTACTCTTGGACTCTTGGAACTGGGAGAGATCTGGATAAAAGCCGAAACTATAACATTTGGAGTTAAGAGATGCCTCATTAGTATCAGAAGTAAGCTGAGGGTCTAAAAGAAAATCTGTCAGTAGTGAGACCTGACTACCAGAATGTAGAAATAAAATAAGACCAAGTAGGAGTGAAAAAGGATGAGTGTGTGTTACTAATGATACAGATTCCAAATGGGCAACTAGAACTGACGATAGTATATATGGTTAGAAGCCAAAATCCACACCTGAGCTGTGGCAAAGGATGCAGTTTGGTCCCTTTCATATGCCAGGAGGAATGTGATAAGAGGTGGGCATTCCTCTGAGAAGGCATTTACAGTGACGTGGGTGTTGTAGATAATGCAAAATTATTATGAAAGAGTGACTGAGGTGACATTGGGAGAAACATAGCCTTTATGGCAATTAGCATTCTTCAGTTTCTTCAGAAGTGGATGAAATATTTATACTTCTATTTCAGGGCACACCAGGAAAAGTAGGGCCAACTGGTGCAACAGGAGATAAAGGTCCACCTGGACCGGTGGGACCCCCCGGCTCTAATGGTCCTGTAGGGGAACCTGGACCAGAAGTGAGTACTGCGGTGAAAGCAATTCTCTTGCTATCGCATGTCATGGAGACAACTTTTTCATTTAGAAATTGATTTAGAAATTTAGAAATTGAATGCGCATTTGACCTTAAGAAAGTTTCTTAGTAATGTTATTTGATGTACCCTACTTCCCCAGAATTGGCTAAATGATGACAGAAAGGAAAGGTCACAAGATCAGTGCCCTTGCACTGACCTTCCTGGAGCTAAGTATTTTAGTTGATTAGACTGTTGCCAAATTGCTTTGAAGGTGAAAGGTCACATCCATTCATTCTGTCTCTTGTTATTGTTTCATCTTGTAATGGTATATTTATCAAAATTGCCAACTTCTATGGTGACAGGATTAAAATAACTATTATAACTTCTGAAAAGGGCAAAGTAAATAGAGCCCATTTTACTTAAATATTACTATACTGTGACATAATGAAGGTCATGTTCCTTTAGGCTCTTTTGAGAGGAAATCAGTTTTTGATAGGCAATTTGACAAGTTAAAAGTTGGGTTATCTTCTATTTAGTGCTTTAATGAGTGAATCACTAATTAATGTCACATTTTCTTGAAAGAAATAAGAAATGGCTTTTAGAGCAATTTTTGATCAAATAGAATAAACATAGTTCTTGAAAATCCAGATGAAATAGGGAGAAAAGTTTATATGTATTTTAAAAAGTAATTTAATATCTAAACACAGTTATTTGCTTTCAAGATTTTAAAGACATTAGTGGATAAACTTAAATAATTGAGTGAGAAAAACCATTCATTGGTAAAAGAAACAAAACCTAAATGATAAGAATGTAATTATTACCTATTTATTTCAAAGCACTTGAGAACATTTTTCTTTTCTAAAAAGAGAATAAATAGAAATGAAGAACTTAAATCAATTATGAATGTGTTAATATTTTTACAGTAATTCAAAATAATAAAAAAAGAACAGAATCCATTCTTCTACTGAGATTTCCCTAAATTCTAATTTATAGTTTATAAAAGATACGTGTAAAACATTCTGCCATTTTCCTGATAATTGGAATGAGATTTGTTTCATTTTTCTATTAATTGGTTTTTCCAATACTATGTTTTTCCAATACTATTCTTTATAGGGTCCAGCCGGAAATGATGGTACTCCGGGACGGGATGGTGCTGTTGGTGAACGTGTAAGAACAATTTCTCAGATTCGTAAACCTGAAGTTGTGTCAATCTGAAATTGTAATTTTAGAATTATGGTCAATCTAAAATCTTTCTGATTTTGCTATCATGTTAAAAAGCTACCATTTGTCCTCATAGCTGCAATGTAGCTCTGATTTTTCTGATTAAAACCCCTTTTTTATAAGGTCACAACTTGTAAGTGAAATGAGATTTGAATAAACAGAACAGTAAGGTTTTTTTTTATTTTTTATTAAGAGCAGAGCTTTAACCTTTGGTGCAGCACAATGGCTTTGATGAGAGGATACAAATGGAATGTTCTAAATTTCCAATTCATTCACAGAAGTTATATTTTTGTGCATGTGACCTATAAATTCTCTGCTCAGCCCCTAAAGTGAATTAATGCCCTATTGAAAATTGGCCACGTGGGTTTCTAAACATGTATATTCCATGATGTGTTTTAGACTTAAAATATGCTGAACTAAAAATATTCTTAATTTTATCTGCAAGCTCTAGTTGTTTTTAGCAGATGCACAGTTGTCTCAGGCTCCACATCAGGCCACTAGAGGCAAAAGTTACTCCCCACACCAGCTATTATGATGGCTTAGGTTTTGTACACTGCAGTCTTACCATGTAGCAAAATGGATTTGGAATTAGGCAGACTTGATTTGGAATCTTCAGTCCTTATGTAACTTTCCATGTGATCTTTGGCATATTTTCTGAATCTTAAGTGTCTGAGATTAAAATACTTTAAATGTAATTTGTTCCTATACCATTGGACATGTGTGTGATGACATGTTTGAAGAATCTAGTACAGGAAGACACTCAACTTCATGCTAAAAGCAAGGAGAAAAAAGAGTATTTAGGAATACTAGGCTAAGTTTCCACTCATCTACCATAATCACAGAGACTATAAATTCTCTTGCACCATGCTATTCCTGTGGTCATTAAACCCTTTGTACTGCAGTAATTCTCAAAGATTTTGCTATTAAACCCCCAGAAATAAATTTGAAAATCTATGAGATCTGATGCACATTTTAAGTTGGCATTATATTTCTTAAAAATTACAAGTTTAAAGAGTTACCAAGGAGTAATTCCTGGTAAATTTTAAATGTGTATGTACTTTAAATGTATTTTTTCCCAAAATGTTAAAGTTGACAATTTAGCTTATTCGTTTATTATGTGTCTGTTCTATAACTTAATTGCCCAAAGTTGCCAAATTAATCAGTTAAATCAGTCTTAATTTTTGTTAGAAAATGTAGTCTGGCTCTACTTTTCAAATCAAATAATTATGTCCATACACATTCATATAATGATTATGTCACTTCTAACTTCTTAGGGAGAAAAATATGTGGAGCTTTGTCATAATTGGGTTCTTTGGATCAAATGCAAAGCAGCCTCTTTATTTCCAAACCTCCTTTAGCTTTATTCTCAAGTGAACTGTTCGTTCTGAACGAGTCCCCTAGTTTAGTGCCTATAGGTATTTATCCTTGGTACATCGTATTGTAATAAGATTGGAGATGGTACCATTTCTGCTTTCTTTCACAAAAGGGGAAAATGAGAAGGCTGATAAAAGTGGAGTTTTCTGGGGGGAAAAACACATATGGAGATGAAAATATGGATGGGTATTTCCTTAAAATGTTGCTTGTTTTCGCACTACATTTAGAAGGTCTTTTGTGTATTCCAAGTGCACAGATATTGCTGGCCTAGGAAACATGTTGAATTCTGGAGGTAACCACTTCTACAGTCCAGCAGTCTTGACTGTGAGAACAATAGGGTGGAGATGAGGGCAGGGAGGAGATCTGAAAGTGAGGACAAATAATTCTATTATCCTAATTTAATTTATTAGTTAGTAAATGTGAGTAGAATACTTAAGTGAAATATGAGAAAAATATATTTTAAGGGTATTTTTTTCTATTAATACATGAGTAACAAGAACATATAGAGTATTGTTATTGTAGAATAAATGTTAAAAGAAGAATGACATAACAATGACGTGGTGGTTATTTTCATCAGGGTGATCGTGGAGACCCTGGGCCGGCTGGTCTACCAGGCTCCCAGGGTGCCCCTGGAACTCCTGGCCCTGTTGGAGCCCCAGGAGATGCAGGACAAAGAGGAGACCCGGTGAGGAGGGATCCGTTTCACACTGACAGTTGTGCATGTGGACATGCTGTGTCGTAAACTACATATGTACACGTATGCAATCACACATGGGCATTTCATTAAGGACTTTAAACAAAGAGTGGTAAATAGTGAATTAGGAATTAGTACATATTTTTTATTCTTAAAGGAAAGATTTCATTTCTAATAGATATTTAAAAATACTGATGCTTTGCCTTATATCGTTTAAAAATGCTGTAATTTATAGGGAATGTAATAAGTATGCATCATAGTGAAGGTAAGGAAGTCGTGTCTCATGGTGTTCAACTAAAGGGATCTTCATTCACTGAAGTCAGTGAACAAAATTAATGGTAAAAGTATCCCTGGATTTATAGTGAACACATTCTTACCTAATATGAATATTTACCTGACTTCAATTAATCATAAGTGTATGCACAGAGATATATGTATACTACATACATATGTAAGCATCCAAATATGAACACGTACTTTTGACATCTTATATCTATAAAATATATGCATATGCTAATGTTTGTGAAAATTTCTCCTAGGGTTCTCGGGGTCCTATAGGACCACCTGGTCGAGCTGGAAAACGTGGTTTACCTGTAAGTTCTCTATTTTTCTTAAATTTTTTTTTCTTAAGTATATACCCAAAGAAGCATGATTTTAGATCCATAAATAAAAATGCTAAATTTCTTAATCTTGAATAAAAATATTAATTTAAAATAATACGAAAGTTTACATTTGTTTTTATAATTTTAACAGAGCTTCTTTGAATTTAACTATGAATTCTTTCAATAATCAATGAAGATTTCCAGTTTAATCGTTATTATACATTTGTGAATGAATCATGTCTTAGCTGTCTCATAGGTTGTATTTCTTTCATACTCATCATATAACTCAATGTTTATATTCATAAAAAATAATTGTATCCTTTATATCATGGCCATATTTTTCTCAGCTTTGATTTGAGCTTAAATGACACAGATTTCATAGTTTGAGATTAACTGACATAGATTTCATAGCAGCATTTCAAGTGAATGGTTTTCTAAATGGTTATAGAGACAATATAGTTTTGTTTTCATGAATAAATACATTTTAGTTAATAATTTATTATAAACTATTGAAAATTTGGGCCATCCCTCAAATAAGAGAACTTTTCTAACATTTTGAGAGGCTTAAGGCTGATTTGGATAGAATACAAATTTCTAATGCTATAGAATATGTAAACTGATATATGCTGATATATGTAAACTGATTTCTTATGCTACTGAAATCTAGTCTTATTTTCATTATTAAAAGATTTCCTTATTGTCTGGCAATTAGAAAATCCAGATTGAAAAAAAGAGTGGAACAAAACAGAAACAAAAAGAAAAAGGAAAAATTAACCCTTGATCAAATAATTTTCATCTTTTCTCTGGGTATCGCTTCTGTCTCCAAATAAAATCCTAACTATGGCTTTTTAAATTTCCTCAGGATTAGGATTGCTGGATATTGCAGATATGGGGATAATAGAGTTTCTTTGTATTGTCTTTAACGGATAGTGGCTTAATGATGATAGAAGTTTGGTTTTTTCAAATAAGTTTTTACCAATTTCTTAATATAGTTCCAGCTATCATCCAGTTAGTTTATTTCCATATGCAAATTTAAAAACATTTCAGGCTGGATGGAGGATTGCTTGAGATTAGAAGTTTGTGATCACCTGAGCAAGTGCAAGTTTCTGTCTCTATTAAAAATAGAAAAATTAGCTGGGCCTTCTGGTGTGTGCCTATAGTCCAGTAATCAGGAGGCTGAGGCAAGAAGATTGGTTAAGCCCAGGAATTTGAGGTTGCAATGAGGTACAATGATGCCAGAGCACTTAACCTGGGGCAGCAGAGCTGGACTGTGTCTCAAAAATAAAAAAAAAATTTAGTCTTAAGGGAAGATAAGTAGGATACTTTTTTAATTAAAAAAAAATCTGTCTATAGCTGCAATATTGTATACAGTATCAGCTAAATATATAAAATATAATCTTTAGAAAACATTTTGGATAAGCTTGATCAAACTTAAAAGTATCTCATTTTAGTATGAATGTAGGATAAACATTTTACAAACTGAATCTTTAGGAAGATTATATTATATATCTCTTTCAGTGATCATTTACCATTTCTTAGACATAACCCCCAAATTTCTAGGTCTAATGCTATTTAGATAAGTAAATGTGTTAGTATATATAAAAATGTTATTTAAAATTGTAGTTAAGTACAGTGGTGAAAAGTAAAATTGTAGTCAATTCTAGTCCCAATAAACAATATGCATGTCATGACTCTATTTCTAGGGACCACAAGGACCTCGTGGAGACAAAGGTGATCACGGAGACCGAGGTGACCGAGGTCAGAAGGGCCACAGAGGCTTCACTGGTCTTCAGGGTCTTCCTGGCCCTCCTGTAAGTTATCTAAATATTATGCTGCCATCCATGGGAAAACACACAGGTGTCTTGACATGAACATTTATCTGTCTGTAAAATGTATGGATGTTTATATATTATAAATGTATTTTAAAGGATATCTTGAATAACAAATGACACAATATAATTGTCAATAACAAGCTATAATTTTGCAGGGAAGAAGTAAAGCAAGAAGCTTACCCACTTTTATTCCTATGGTTGTTTTTAGTCAACTCATGAAGCTATTGCAGAGATCAATGGCTTTAGGAAAGTAATTAATACTGCTAAAGTTAATGATAATATGTTTTGGTCATGGCATGATGAAGGATCTAAATATTTTGGCCACATTTTCAATTTATTTCTACTTAGGGCCCAAATGGTGAACAAGGAAGTGCTGGAATCCCTGGACCCTTTGGCCCCAGAGTAAGTAACAAAAATTAATAAATTGGTAACATAACTAGTGGTGATATACTGGTAAGGCTTGAGTATCGTTTGTATGGTGCTGAAGCTGGGGTTGGCTTATGTTCTCTGAAGATGGCAGCAAACGTAGGAGACAAGCCTGTCAGCAATTAAGTAGAACTATCCTGAAACACAACATACTACCTAATGGGACCACGGTCAAATTTCTTACCTAAGATTTGAATATGTTCCATCTGTAAGTTCATTCTCCTACTTTCTGTTAATTTAAATTTCCATTGAACTTGTACTCTTTGAAATATAATAGGACTTACAATGAAATGGAGGGAGATTTTGAGCCAGAATATATTTTTTCCTTTAAGTAATGGTGATAATTACTTAGTTTCAGAAGTAATTTGCCTAAGGCTAGTTTGGAACGGAATCATAAAGTGAAACAATATTTGAGGCTTTTGAAAATTCTCCTTTATTAATCCTGTCTGTAAGAAGTCATTAGTATCATCAGGCAATTGACACATGTAATTATTTAGGAAAATAGAAGAGATCCTAGAAAAAGCTAGAAAATTAATCAGAAAAATTCTGCTCTGTCTAATAAAGTATAAATAAATTATACATAAAATTGAGAAAAGTAACATAAAAATTACTGTGATGCAATAAGATTCTGGGACAGAAGCACCCAAATTTCACTTCCAACAAGCACTAAAACTTCTGTCATTTTCCGGTGTCAAGTTAATTGAATTTCCAATTATGTTTACAATATTTGAGATTTGATGAAACTATTACTGCCAATAAAATTAGATAAGTAGGCCATTAAATTTTTAACTCATGCTGGTCTTTTACCAGGCATGGATAGAAAATTCCTGTGTGATGAAATCATAAATGTTACAAAATACTAGAAATCCCTCTCTTAGTCATTAAGGAAATGAACTTGAGAAATCAATGTAATGCTCCTTATGGAGAATAGTTCTCTGTTGTTAGCTATTAATTTATTTTTTAAAATGGTTCTTTAGTTAGAAAAAGAAATCATAAACTCTGTCTCCATAGAATCTAAAATAGTCTTTGTCTCTTTCAGGGCCCCCCAGGCCCAGTTGGTCCTTCGGGTAAAGAAGGAAACCCTGGGCCACTTGGCCCGATTGGACCTCCAGGTGTGCGGGGCAGTATAGGAGAAGCAGGACCTGAGGTAAAGTCACAAAGGTTTGCGTACAAGAGATGGTGTGGATTTCAATAGTTTGGATTCCATGCAAGTAACGTTTGTGCAGCTAATGGATAAGAGAAAGAAGGGACCCTGAAAACAAACCAGGAAGTCACATAATAATCTGTGTAATAATTATTTTTGAATATTTTAATAGAGGTTATATAGAATATATAAAATCAGAGTCCAAGCTACCTAGGACTTGACATAATATGATATCAATGAGAGAAAATAGCAAGTCATGATTGTATTTACAGTTAAAGTTCTGAAAATGTTGCTTTTCTCTAAACGGCAGCAAGTAGTATTCTAAATGTCTGTAAGGTGTAGTTTCCATTGTATGAAAACTTCATAAAAATGCTGGAAAATGAAGAGTACAAAATTGAAGTTTCCCTCCATTCAAAATGATACTCAGGGAGGAATTCAATTAAGAATTGTCATAAAAAATTAAAATATTAATGAAGATTGAAGATGATACAATACTATTAACCATTAGGTAGACTCCTGCCTCTCAGGCTTTTGAAAGACTTCTTCCGACCTGTTCTGCGCGCAAGAGCATGCGTGGGCACGTGGCTTATGCTTCCCTCACTCCTGCTTCTTCCATCTTCATCTTGCTTTCTCCTCATTTTGTCTTCACTTTTTAATGGCAAGCCCATTAAGCCAAATATTTATTTATTTTCCACCTGTAAACAAGTAGTCACAAACCAGGGAGGGAAGGACAGTTGACTTTTATTTTTGTATTTAATTGACACGAATGTAAAGGGGACAGCTCAGGGTTGTTTTGGAGCCTGTTGACTTTGGATCTCGACCTGTGATTTTCTTTTCTAAATGAAAACTCCTGGTAGTGAGCAGGACACAGTTGAGAAGGAGTGTGCCGAGCACTTTGGTTGGCAAAGTTAGCAGGTGAGCTCTGCTGCATTAGGTGTTAGATTCCAGGACTTCTTTCGTTGTTGTTGTTGTTTGCTAAATCTTGAAGAAACATGTGCCTCAGCCTAGATGTTTGTCTTTTCTGTACTTAATACCTGACAGTTTGACTGCCAGTCATGCCTTGGCAGGGGCCGGGCTTACTGGTGGTAGATTAGTGGCATCACAGTACAAACCGCAGTGACTGCCACACGGCTGGGTGTGTGAGTGTTTTCAGGGAATGCAGGAGTATTAAGGACAACTCCTTCACTCCACGTGCTTTGCTCATTTACCTGTGAACTTAATTGTAAACTTTCAGGTATTGTTGTACAAATAAAGGACTCATTTTCTGTTTCTTGTAACTAGAAATAAAAACTCAGTGATTTATTATTTATTATATGGATTAAATGCCCTCACATTATCTATGAGCGAATGGAATGCTTTTCCTACTTATTTATTTCTCCAGCTGTGAATAGAAAATACCTATAGCATTGGAATACCTTTGATTTATGTGGCTCTGGATGGACTATATTTTGTGGTTCAGTGGCCCGTGACAGAAAAAATTTCTTTTTCCTTGAGATTCACGTAAAAGAATGCATGGAATCAATATAAGCTAAGACCTTACAGGAAACACACACACACACAATACATTCTATTGTTGAGCCACAGGCGCTGCCCCACAACACATTCTAAAGCGTTTTCAGAGTGAGGAAACACTGTTAGTTAAGGTGACTTATACAGAACCATGTAACATGTACCTTCAGGTCTTGCTCTCCACATGAGATGTGGAATCTGTGTCTCTCCAGCTTGTCACTTGGTTCTTGAAGTTGCTGAGTTCTTCCTTGAGGAAATGTAGAAAGGAGTTAATAGAGAGAATGAATTCACTTCCTACCCTCTGCCACTTTTTGTGCCTTTACTATCTCTAGTAGTTTTGATTTGGCAAAAAAAAAAAAAAAAAGCAAGAGTGTTTTGTTTGGTTGTCTGTTTGTTTCTTTTGTAGTTTTGGTTGGGGCTGGGCTCGAACTTGCCACCCCAGTATATGGGGCTGGCGCCCTACTCCTTGAGCCACAGGCACCGCCCCTGGATGTTCTTTATATATGTCAATTAAAAGGCTAAGGAGAACATTTTTTTCAATTTTGCTTAGTATATATACTTTTAAAATTCATCTTCATTAGTGCATATGAAAAGATTTTATAAGTCCTCCTCATCCCCATTTCAAAGTAGGGAGAAATGCTCGGGTGGGTTTTTCTTATGGATATTTCTTTGTGTTGAAGTGTTTTATAGAACAAGCACCCAAAACTTCCTTGCATCCTTTGTTCACCTACTGTCTAAAAATACTTTTGAAACATTTTGGTTGTACCTTTTCCAAAATAGTTTGGAAATGAATGCATATATTTGCATGTTCTTAACAATAAAATATATCATATCTTTAAACATCAGAGCAAATATTTTGTTCTTTGATCCTTATGTATCTCAGATGATGACTTGCAGAGATGTTGCCTGAAAACCAGTTAAGCAATGTTATAGCTTGGAGGCAAGCTCCATCTAGTCACAAATGGGCATGAGCCATAGATCTCTCAGTATCGCCAGATTGGCATGTCACAGTATAGCTGCCCATGTACCAAGTCCCATCAGTTCAGTAAAACAAAATCAATGTGTTAACTGGAAGGTCTTTCCAATTTCTTTTTAACTAGGGCCCTCCTGGTGAACCTGGCCCACCTGGCCCTCCAGGTCCCCCTGGCCACCTCACAGCTGCTCTAGGGGATATCATGGGACACTATGATGAAAGCATGCCAGATCCACTTCCAGAGTTTACTGAAGATCAGGCAGC